GCGTGGGCTGTAATTTAAAAACAGCGCCTAATATAAGGTTTCCCTCGCTTCGGCGATCGGCCCACCGGGAATGTCCCGGTGCTCCCGATGGCTAGTAGCTACATCGCTGGGTATGTTCAAGTAAGCTAGATATGCCCAGATGCTGCGCAATTAGGCTTATTTAATATATCATGATGAGTCTCAAATTCAGTATTTACACTAAATCTGCGCAGATTTGGCTTACATGAACTTCCTCAAGAAATTAATTGGTAAACATAATACACGAAAAGTAACCTGCCAAACTGGCTAGTGATTTAATTGCGTTACCCGCCACAGCTGATTTTTACACGCATTTGGCGGGTTGGCGGGTGTTAATTTCAAACCCTGAGTACAAAGTATAAGAGGCATATATAAGAGGAAATAAAGACAAAAGCAAACAGTTCAGTCAAAAAGTTCAAAATAAATATATAAAGTTAAACATTACTTTGTGCTCAGCCAAAACGATATGACCAGGAACAAATAACAGATGAATGAAACCACAAATGCCTGTTAAATATAGCCAACCCAAAACGAATTGTATCTCATGTTTAATCACTACAGAGACATCAGAGCCAGCGGCAAATGTCAGAAGGACTAGCTGAGATAAGGCTGCTCTATGCCGATACATGAGCACTGAGCGCCTGGTGATCGCCTGGAGCTCCGAAATCGGCATAGCAAATTTTCAAATAGGTGCTATCTTCATAAATAAACAGCAGATATGAGTTTTAAACAATTACATTCTCTCCTGAAAAACTCTTAAAACTACATTTCATGACACAATAACAGTAATATTTAGAAAATTACGTGGGTTTTGGGCAATAACGTTTCACAAGTCCACAAGAACAGACAAGAACGCATATTGAGAAACGGCTAGCCTATTGACTGTGTGAAAATATAAAATTATGAAATACACGGTTATATTTTTTTTTGTTTGCGCACTCTGATGTAAATAAGCCCAACACTCATGGACAGCAAAGCTGAATGAGTGAAGGACGTTTTATCCCCTTGTATCAAGCAAAAGTGACTATTCTAGTCAACCAATCAACGTTCTGCGGTGAGTTTAGCTCCACCCTTTTGGTACCCTTTGCTGTGCTAGGTACCCCAACGGAAGGGTACCAAAAAAGTGGTACGGTACGCTATTTTGGTACCATTGACAACTTCTGACAGTGGAAACGGAAATAATTGCGTACCGTACTGTACCGAACCGAACCATACCGCTCAGTGGAAACGAGCCATAAGCTGCATTACACTCTTAAAAATAAAGGTTGTTTATTGGCATCTGTGGTTCCATGAAGAACCTTTAACACAAATGGAACCTTTCCTTTCCACAAAAGGTTCTTTATAATGGAAAAACATTCTTTAGATTATTGAAATGTTCTTCACACACACACACACACACACACAAAAAAAGTGTTCTTTTAGAACTGATCACTGAAAGGTTCTTTGAGGAACCAGAAATGGTTCTTCTATGGCATCACTATGAAACCCCACTTTTGAAACCTTTATTTTTAAGAGTGTACACTGTGTAAACAGGCTTTAAGAAACCGATTATTGGGAGATAAACCAACTACATACACCTCTGCCCATCATAGTACACAAAAAAAAGAGGTGAAGAGCATATTTTGAGCATTCATAAAGAAATCCTTTGAGCATGGTGTCATTCAGAGGAGGGCAGGAGAGGAGGTGATGGCCAGCGGAGAAGGCAGAGGACAGAAAAAGGAAACAGCTGATGAAAGAGTAGTGGCAGGGTCAGTGAGTGTGTGGAGAGGTAAGAATGAGCTGGCAACGAGTGTCCACAGAGAGGGGCACGGCCGCAGGCTAAACTGGACAGCTGCCTTTAACACGGCTGCCAATGCAGCTGGCACTGTGAACTAATTCCAGGATAGAGTTATGAACACACAGTTTAACAGCTAAGACATGACCAGCACAGCACACTCAACACAAGAAAAAGGGACCTATAAAAACAGCTGCAAGCTTTATAGATTTAGTTTAAAGCTTTCGATTAGTAAGGAGATTGTCAGGGTCAGATTTACAGTGTTATACTTCAAAAGTTTGGGAATGAAGTGCTCCCCAAGGCTGCATTTATTTGACCATTAACTCAGTTTTGTGAAATATTATTACAAAATTAAAACAACTGTTTTCTATATTATTATATTTTCAAATGTCTTTTATCCCTGTGATGCAAAACTACATTTTCAACATCATTACTCCAGTCTTCAGTGTCTTCAATGTCATGTTTTTCAACAAAATTAATGTTTTGTTATGTTCATAATATAATTAGGGGTGTGCAATATTGACAAAAAATAATATCTCGATATTTTCTTGGATTTTATCGATAATAATAATCGGACGATATTTTGCTGAGTGTGTTATTGTGCTGATATCTTAAGGACTGCCGTGGACAGCTGACTCCTAAAGTTTTTGATATTCTTCATATTCTGTGTGGTGGTCAGTTCACACTGATAGAAATTAATATTTTTTTAATAAGTTTGAATTGAGTTTTACCTTTTATGGGCATTTTTATCTTTATAAAGCCATTTCTCTAAAATTGTGCAGTATCTTTTGAGTCAAATTCTTACATTTAATCAGTAAATTAGAATAATAAGACATTTGGGCTGTTACCAAGCAAATTAAATCAGTATCAATAAAATTAATCTTTGCAATGCAGAGGAAACACAGAAGCTGCATCTGAAGTGGCATTTAGATATATTTACACACTACTGTTTAGTGCAGAACACGAATGCATTTAACCTGCAATTGCAAATGCATAAATTATCTTTTGATATATTAAACATAAAACGTTGAAAACTGTTATTTGAAATTATTTAAATAATAAAAAGATACTTTAAATGTGAAATTAAAACCGCCAGCAGGTGGCAGCAAGTCAATGTTAATAAGGGAGTCATTGCAATTGAGCCAAATCATTTAAACGGTTGATTCATTCAGGAACAAAACTCAGTCATGGTGCTCAGAGACACAAAACAGTGCTGTGGCTGTGTTTGGAATTATTTTTGTTGTCGAAATAAAACAAAAACATGCAATATGGTGTCTAAAACGCAAGTCCCTTAATTAGCTTCTTGTTTTTTGAACTGTTGTAAAAAAAAATCTATATTAGGGCCTACGTTTGTAATCATGGTAATTTTTGGAGAAAGAAATGGCACTCTTTGTGTGATATCGATTAACTATATGAAATGATATATATATATACATTGTCCCCATATCTTGAATTTTGTGATCATTCTAAATGTATTGTAATAGACTGAATCATGCAGTAAAAGAACACACTCTAAATGCGCACTCGCACTAGTCTCTAGACTTCACGTAATGTATGCGTGCGCTCTGTGGGGGTGTTTTGAATGGTTGTTGCATGACCCTACGTGACATGATTCATTTAGAAAAAATTGCCTTTTTGCATTTTTTTTATGCAAAATATTACACAAAATGTTGTGCAAAATGTCCAGATGTTTCAGACGACAAATAAAATAATAAGTCAAGATGTTAAACAATGTTAATATTGTTTGTTAAACAAGAAATGGAAGGTCAAGTCAAGTGCATAGTCGTGTGCAGTGTACTTTAGTTGTAAACTGCACATTTTGGCAAATGTATTAGGTCATCTAGATGTTCCATGCATGAAAATGTGCATAATGTGCACGGTACACATACTGCAGAAGAATGAGTATATATGAGTAGTATGGGAGCATACCATTCTGACAATCAGGCCTGCAGCTGAAAACAGCTTAGTTACTGAGGACAGCTTGTAAATGCCATTAGTAGTTGGCAGGGGGCGCACTTTCACCATCATTTACTCTGACACTTACCTGTGCAGATCTGATTGAGGTCATATGTTTTGCAGCTGCTGGAGTCTGCTGCTGAAGGGCCGGATAAACTAGAAGCTGTGCCATAGAGAACCAGCGTGAACTGAGTCAGAGTGCCTAAAACAGACAGAGAGAGAGATTCAACAATCTGACTCATGCACACAAGAAACTCACAAAATTAGGACAGTTGCCAGTTGTGAATCATTATGTCTGTGTTCATTCTGTCTCAATCAGTAGACTGTATTACACTATATGCACATTTATTCAGTCAGCAGATGCTGTCAACTCACAAATTAGGAACACAAGCAACCGACCAAAAGCAAACAACATTAGCATAGCTGATTTCTCAAGTAAACCAGAATAGTGCTAAGTTAGAATAGAGGTATTAAAGCAAAAAGCCACAAGAGGCAATGCATTAGCGATCTGACCAAAGTTAACTAACAAAAAAACATAAAAAAAAACAAAAACATTTTTGTTATTTAAAATAACAAAACTTTTAATTTCAGCTAGTTAGTTGCCTAAGGAAAAACACAACAAAAGTTACTAAAACTTCACAATGAAAATAACATAATATACATAAAACTGATTTAAAAATAATAATAAAACTCATAAATCTCAATGATACCAAAATAATACTGATGATCACATAACTATGGAGCCTCTCATGGCTTACTGAATTTATAAAATGAAGGGAATATGATAAAATGTTAATAATTAAAATAATAATTGTAATATTAATGATAATCACAATAAACATTCTTTAAGTAATATAGCTCATTAGAACTGACACACATACGGATTAAGCCTAACGAGCATATATCAGATAATTTTACAATTGTAATATGTAATATAGGAATGACATTTTTTAAACTAAAATATTTAATTCTGATTGCTCATTTTACATTAAGATACTTTAGTATAATCACCTTTAGCTGCATGCTGCATAAATGACCACTGTCAGGGGTAAAGGTTTCCTACACAGCTGTACTACACTGGTCAACATTTGAAGTGGATCAAAACCTTACAGCAAAGTTGTCCTAAAACCAAAATGCATTCTTGTCTTGGGACAACTTTGATGAACTTTTTTGATCCACTTCAAATGTTGACTACTGTAGTTTCATGTATCAATGCTTGACCAACTAAAAAGCAATATTTATTAGCCCTATTTAGTATAAAATAAGTCAAATGCAAAGTAATCCCCATTCGTATTCTATACTTGAAGAGTTTATTTGCAAAAACAGATAAGCAAATTAACTCTTCACTTGTATACGAGATAAAACGATAACACCCTTTCTATTTTGACAATGTCTGATTGTATATTATCACCTGTACATCTTGCTCATTTTGTGGCCACTAACACAAATTACTCGGAAGATAAAAGCTTGATCATCCTTGTGCCCTGTAACAGCACACGAAATGTCTGAACACAGACTTCTTGTCATCATCATTCAGTAACTGTAGTGCCACACTGCTTCGACATGCATTAGATAGATGGCACACTTTGTCTCTATAGTCCAATAAAGTCAGTAGCTCTGTAAATTCTTAAAGCAACAAAGAGAAATGGACTAGGTAATGCACTGGACGAATGGTCCATTCAATCCAGACATAAAGCAGTTGTGTTAGATTCTGAGCAGGACAAATGAATGGGCTTTGGCTTGAAGTCCCTTTATATTTACAGTGTTCATGAGCGGCTGGAGAGTGTGATAGTGGGAGAGGGAGAAAAAACTCAGTCCTCTGATTTACTTAGCTAGATTTAATTAATCAGATTTACTGCGGGGTGTGGTGAAGGAAGACAAATTGACTGTGACATAAAAGAGGAAGAAAACAGGATTGGGCAAATCAGGCGGATTTGGAGAGAAGATGCTCTACATTTCTGTGAAGTGCAAATCAGGGCACTGGCAGACATAAAAGAGACTTTTTTGGATCACAATCAATATCGGACTCTTTTTAATCATTTCCAAGTCCCAGATTGTTTTATCTTTTATTTTATGATCTTTTTATTTTCTTTTATGACAATCTACTTTTTTATCGTTTCTGTTTAATTGTATTTATATTTTCTTTATGCCCTTTTATTACTCCATTTTTATTATAATTTGTTTATTTTATTGGATCACAATCAATGTTTGACTTTTTAATCACTTTCAAGTCAGATCGTTTTTTATTTTATTTTATTTTCTATAATTTTTGTTTTTATTTTGTTTATATTTTATATTTTAATTTGACCATTTTGTAAACTAGTTTTATGAAACAGCCCCCTGGAATGGGATTAGGGTACACTGGAAGTCCAAATTTGCTGGATTTGAACCTGCATCTCCTGCATGAGCACCACGGCTCAACACATCTGAAGCATAAATGGAACAAAAAAAAACTGCAAATTGGATGGACGAGCTATTACCATAGTCGCTGGTTCCAGCCACGTTCTCAATCTCCAACGTCCATTCTCCACGAGGGTCCTCATCCCAGGAGTGGGTGGTCATGAAAGCCCAGTCACTGAAGCCCTCAGAGGAGTAATCGTGAGGTCTGAGAGAGAAAGAGACAGAGAATGTTACACTTAACGGATTCAGCTATACTCTATTTGAGTATAAAGTGTGTGGAGGTATCCCTTTCAGTGCCTGACCTGGGTGCAAGCAGCGTGGAGCGGGTGCCCTGTGGGCTGATCAGGAAGATGGCCAGGCTTCCTCTGCGGTTGTAGGACAGGGTGAGCTGGGCTTGAGCATGCTCTAATGAGCTCACAAAGTTGTCCGTCCCAGCACATGCATCCACACTCTTATTGATCACCAAATGACTCCCAATATTCCTAAAAACAGGAAAATAGTGTTCAAGAACTGACAGATAAACCACAATGAAATGTTATACTTCTTAATACAAGTAATTATGAATGCATTATGCATTATCATTTAAAATTTTGGGGTCTTTAAGATTTAACGTTTTTGAAAGAAGTTTCTTATGTTTACCAAGGCTGCATTTATTTCATCAAAAATACAGTAAAACAGTAACATTTTAAAATTATATTACAATTTAAAATAACTGTTTTCTGTCTTAATATATTTTAAAATGTAATTTATTCCTGTGACGCAAAGCTGAATTTTCAGCATCATTACTCATCATTACATTAACAGTCTCCAATGTCACATGATCCTTCAGAAATCATTCTAATATGCTGATTTGCTGCTCAAGAAACATTCCTTGCTCTTACCAAAGTTGAAAACAGTTGTGCTGCTTAATATTTTTGTAGGAACTGTAATGCCTTTTTTTAGCATTCTTATTTTTTCAAAAATGTAAAAGCACAAGATTTATCTGAAATATAATTTTTTGTAAAAATGTAAGTCTTTACGGTCACTTTTGATTCATTTAATATATCCTTGTTGAAAATCCTACTGACCCAAAACTTTCGTAAGTTTAATGTAAGATCATAAAAATATTCTCAAACAAGAACCACGATTTAGCTGAAAACACAATCTTAACACTAGATATGGTTCAGATTCTCCTTTAATGTGTCATTTATCATCCACCAGGTGAAAACTGTTAGTTCAACTGCTTATAAAAGCAACAGCACACACATTCATGCAAAGTTGTGTGTTTTAAAATGGCATATTACCCAAATGTTTATTGAAGCCTCAAAAGAAAGCATCACTATTATCTTAAGCATAAATGTTTAATGAATTTCCAAGCATTGTTTGAACAAATAGGTAATTATTCCCCAAACTTACTACACTAGAAGTTGATATGTTAAATAAAGCAATGTGATGAAAGCATTACCGTGTTTACTTGTACATAGTCGATGCATCAAACTGGCCTTATTAATAGCTACTGGGAAAGATTAACTGATTCTTACTATATCAAACTGCTGCTGCAACACTTAAGTGTGCAAAACACATTCCTGGTCCAACAGAAAGGTTCAGTCAGGTTAAGACCTGTGCCACCGATGACCGCCACAGGAGCCGGTAGGCTTTTGGCACTCTAAACCCAATCCTAAAAGGAGCTTAGAGTGGTCCGGCCCTGCTCACCAGAGACAGGGTTACACTGGAAGAAGAGCTTAAATCAAGAGAGAGAACAACAAGCTACAGCCTCTGACAAGTCCACGAGGAATGAAGCGTAACCCCTCTGTGCGCGTGCAAGACTTCAAGTCAGAGATGTTGCGAGCAAAAAATGAAGAAAAATACGGCAGAGATGGAAGTGAGGCAGCCTTTAATCACTTCGCTCTGTGACTTCTGCAACCAGCATGTTAAATTGGGCTTTGCTCCAAAACCCCTTGATCTTTCCATAACGTTGGTGAACCATAAAGGATGACTGGAGGAAGGGATAAAAAGGGTGAGTTTTTAGAGTGAGAGACATGATATGCTGGGAGAGAGGATGAGATTGGTGGAGAGGTACTCTGAGGGTCCTTCTTGAGCTCCAAGATGTCAGCAGTGATGGAAGTGTGACAAATGTGGATGTAACAAGCTGGATGTATCTGCAAGCCATTACTTCCTTTAAACACACTCTGTAGGCAGTGGAGATGCAGCTCTAAATTTAAATATGATAGACCGTCAAAAGTGATGTTTCGCTCCCACCTCGTTTAATATTCTTGTTTCCTCTTGCACTTCATGACCTTTTTAGCAGCACTAAATTTAAAACATTCCGTTTGTGTGCACCGAAGAACCTCAGTTTGCCATATGTTAGTGAAGAATCAATTAAGACTGCAGTTTCTTCTAGCAGAGGATTTAGTTCACACAAATTAGTATTCTATCATAATTTACTCAGCCAGGCAAAAGTAATTTTGCAGAATGCTCATGCTGCTTGAAACGGTTACATTTTTCCATCCAAAATGTTTTTTAATAATAATAATTTTATACTATTTTTAAAATAATTTTATAATCAAAAAGAATGTCTAATCAAATGAATTAATAAATCCATATTTTTAATAATTAATGAATTTTCATGTCTTTAATATACCCTTCTATTCAAAAGTGACTAAATATTTTTATTTCACATAAATATGTTTTTTTTAATCATTTATTTATTATTCTAAAAAAAAAAATGTATCATGTTATCCGGAAAAATACGAAGCAGCTAAACTGTTTTCAACATTGATAACAATAATAAATGTTTCTTGAGCAGCATATCAGCATACTAATAATTTCTGAAGGATCATGTGACACTGAAGACTGGAGTAATGTTTAAAATTCAGCTTTACATCACAGGAGTAAATTTAAAAACATTTTTAAAATACATTCAAATTAAACAGTTATTTTAAATTGCAAAAATATTTCACAATATTACTATTAATATATTTTAGTATATTTACTATTAATGTATTTTTTTATTAATAATGTATTTTACATTTAAAAATCTTACAGATACCAAACTTTTAAATGGTATTAATTAAAATATATTAATTCATGTTAACATTATATTATTTTTAACAAATAAAGAGCTTCACAGAATAATCCAATACTATTATCCTTATTACATTGAATCTTACTCTACATTTTAATATGAAATTTCTCAGATTTTTGCTGTTTGACAATTGGAGTAAACCAGGAATCGTATTTAATTTAAATTAACTGTGTTGCCGTACATTTGAAAAATTTCATTCAAACTTAAGATTCCATGAAATTCAACGTTAATTCCATTTCAATGACTGCATTTCGGAGATTCTGTCCACATTTTCTGCAGCACAAAAAATCATAGGGCTTTATCTATGCAATGAAGTGGATAAAAACTAAGGCCTTCAAACTCCAAAAAGCCATATTATCGCTTGTCTTCAGACTAGGTTATGGTATTTTATGTCTTTTTGAAGATCGGAAGCCCCTGGTCACTGGATGGTTTCACTGAATGGAAAACGGCAGCGTAAACATTCAGTTTGAATGGACATAAAGGTAAGAAAATGACAGAATTGCCCATTTTTGCTACCAAAACTAACCCTTTTAAGATCAATCCAGTACACAGGGTTTAACCTACCTAGGCTCAGACACCAAGGAGAGGACACATTTCCGCTGAGGTCCAACATTCGTCCAGTTCTTTGCCAGAGCCACAATGGCCCCAGCATCCAGCAGACCATATCCATAAGAATGACTTACTGTAGGAGAGCGAGAGAGAGAGAGAAATCAATACGGTTGAAAGTAACTATAGAACCAGTTTAAAAAGGTTGTAAAAAGACTGACATTATAAATAAAGAGGTGAATTAAAGAGGTTGACATCTTTAAAAGATCCGAAGCTATTTGCAGACTGGTGCAGCCAATGATAATGTTATCGATCTAATCACAAAGCGTTCAAGTAGCTGGAAAGTGGAAAGACAAGCCAGAGCGAAAGGAAAGAGGAGGGAGCGATGAAAAGCAAGGAGATGGGCTTTTACCTCTGCGACCCACTCCATTTGTCTTCCAGTCATTAGTGGTGAGGTGGGCAGGGTTGGACGTCCTCACAACCAGATGCTGCATGTCTCTCCAGGTCAGGTTTTTACTATGGAGAGAAGTGTTAGTGCCTTTCCTTCATGTGAGATACATGGTGGAACGAAACACAAACAGCTCTCCTAGATAATCTCTCCTGCCCTTTCGTAAAGGTCACAGATAGCTACAGGTGGAGTCACAAAGGTTATAGTTTTACCAGTGAATTCATTTAAAATGATACCGCTCAATACATGTGTCTGATCCAAATGAGAATTTGAAGGTTAATTCCAGCCTGCCAATCTAGCTGGCAACCATTTTTTTGTTTGAAAGCCTCGGGTCACTCAAATTGCTGATAAAGAAAGATGACCTCGCTTGAGGACAGGACAAACCACGCTTCGGACGACTTACTTGGCCTCAAGGGCGAGGGCGATGATTCCTGCCGCCAGAGGGGCCGAGGCAGAGGTGCCTGTGTGGGAGTCTGTGCACTTCTGCCTGAGGTCTGTAGTGACCTGAAACAGGAAGCGGAGCGGGAAAACATATCGCATCACTGATATGATGGGAAAATCCAATTATTCCAGATGGGAACACAATACCAACACTGTACTGACTTGACAATGAAGTCTCTCACAAAAGATGATAAAAGTTTAAAGATAAGGCATTTTTAATTATTTCAGAATGTTTCCTGAGGCGCAATATTAATGTTAGTAGGATTTTAACAAACTGTCCGAATTTTGAAATAAAAGTAAATTTTCTACACTGGTTTTAGCTCTCAGGTCATTTAAGCGTTTTTTTATTATTATCAAATAAAAACATGTTTTTGTATTATAATCAAAGCTGAATTTTTTCCCCCCTGCTTACTGTTTTTGTGGAATCTGCGGTGCATTTTCCCAGATTCTTTGATGAACAAAGTGTAAAAAAAAAAAAAACTATTTGAAAAATAAATATTTTGTAACATTATGAAAGTCTTTACTGTCACTTTTTAACAATTTACTTTCACGCAGTCTCCACAAAAATATTAAGCAGCAAAAACTGTTTTCAGCATTAAGAACAAAAATTTTTTTCTCGAGCACCAAATTAACATAGAATGATTTCTGAAGGATCAAGTGACACTGAAGATTCCAAATACTCTTTTGGAATTCACTAAAATAGAAAAAAAAAGATTTTTAAATAACGGTTATATATTTTTTCTAAATATTTCTAACATTTATTATTAAATAAAGGCAGCCTTGGTGAACATAAGACATTAAAATAATTAAAATATTCCAACCTTTTGACCATTAGCCTGTATGTCAAATGATCAGGGAAATCTTGATTTCTCAATTCATGACCCATTTCATAATCTTGCTAATTGTGTCCAGAATTGCTATTATTATTTGTTCATACTCAATCAAGAATTCAAACAAGACCCTTACACTCAGCTTTAAATTTTGATGTGCAACTAGTCCCTCACCATGTGTGCTACAGATATAACTGATACCTCAAATCATGAAAGTTGTTGAGGAGCACCGTGCTATTACTTTTCAAACTGATATGACTGATCAAACTGATCCTCTAAATGGTTTTTGAGGGGAATTTGGGAGAGAAAAAATAGACCGGGGATGAGGATTTCAAAGAGACTTGGGAATTGGGCTCTTTACACTTGGGCCAGTAGGCAACCACCCAGAACTTTTTAGCAGCACTAAATTTAAAACATTCCGTTTGTGTGCACCGAAGAACCTCAGTTTGCCATATGTTAGTGAAGAATCAATTAAGACTGCAGTTTCTTCTAGCAGAGGATTTAGTTCACACAAATTAGTATTCTATCATAATTTACTCAGCCAGGCAAAAGTAATTTTGCAGAATGCTCATGCTGCTTGAAACGGTTACATTTTTCCATCCAAAATGTTTTTTAATAATAATAATTTTATACTATTTTTAAAATAATTTTATAATCAAAAAGAATGTCTAATCAAATGAATTAATAAATCCATATTTTTAATAATTAATGAATTTTCATGTCTTTAATATACCCTTCTATTCAAAAGTGACTAAATATTTTTATTTCACATAAATATGTTTTTTTTAATCATTTATTTATTATTCTAAAAAAAAAAATGTATCATGTTATCCGGAAAAATACGAAGCAGCTAAACTGTTTTCAACATTGATAACAATAATAAATGTTTCTTGAGCAGCATATCAGCATACTAATAATTTCTGAAGGATCATGTGACACTGAAGACTGGAGTAATGTTTAAAATTCAGCTTTACATCACAGGAGTAAATTTAAAAACATTTTTAAAATACATTCAAATTAAACAGTTATTTTAAATTGCAAAAATATTTCACAATATTACTATTAATATATTTTAGTATATTTACTATTAATGTATTTTTTTATTAATAATGTATTTTACATTTAAAAATCTTACAGATACCAAACTTTTAAATGGTATTAATTAAAATATATTAATTCATGTTAACATTATATTATTTTTAACAAATAAAGAGCTTCACAGAATAATCCAATACTATTATCCTTATTACATTGAATCTTACTCTACATTTTAATATGAAATTTCTCAGATTTTTGCTGTTTGACAATTGGAGTAAACCAGGAATCGTATTTAATTTAAATTAACTGTGTTGCCGTACATTTGAAAAATTTCATTCAAACTTAAGATTCCATGAAATTCAACGTTAATTCCATTTCAATGACTGCATTTCGGAGATTCTGTCCACATTTTCTGCAGCACAAAAAATCATAGGGCTTTATCTATGCAATGAAGTGGATAAAAACTAAGGCCTTCAAACTCCAAAAAGCCATATTATCGCTTGTCTTCAGACTAGGTTATGGTATTTTATGTCTTTTTGAAGATCGGAAGCCCCTGGTCACTGGATGGTTTCACTGAATGGAAAACGGCAGCGTAAACATTCAGTTTGAATGGACATAAAGGTAAGAAAATGACAGAATTGCCCATTTTTGCTACCAAAACTAACCCTTTTAAGATCAATCCAGTACACAGGGTTTAACCTACCTAGGCTCAGACACCAAGGAGAGGACACATTTCCGCTGAGGTCCAACATTCGTCCAGTTCTTTGCCAGAGCCACAATGGCCCCAGCATCCAGCAGACCATATCCATAAGAATGACTTACTGTAGGAGAGCGAGAGAGAGAGAGAAATCAATACGGTTGAAAGTAACTATAGAACCAGTTTAAAAAGGTTGTAAAAAGACTGACATTATAAATAAAGAGGTGAATTAAAGAGGTTGACATCTTTAAAAGATCCGAAGCTATTTGCAGACTGGTGCAGCCAATGATAATGTTATCGATCTAATCACAAAGCGTTCAAGTAGCTGGAAAGTGGAAAGACAAGCCAGAGCGAAAGGAAAGAGGAGGGAGCGATGAAAAGCAAGGAGATGGGCTTTTACCTCTGCGACCCACTCCATTTGTCTTCCAGTCATTAGTGGTGAGGTGGGCAGGGTTGGACGTCCTCACAACCAGATGCTGCATGTCTCTCCAGGTCAGGTTTTTACTATGGAGAGAAGTGTTAGTGCCTTTCCTTCATGTGAGATACATGGTGGAACGAAACACAAACAGCTCTCCTAGATAATCTCTCCTGCCCTTTCGTAAAGGTCACAGATAGCTACAGGTGGAGTCACAAAGGTTATAGTTTTACCAGTGAATTCATTTAAAATGATACCGCTCAATACATGTGTCTGATCCAAATGAGAATTTGAAGGTTAATTCCAGCCTGCCAATCTAGCTGGCAACCATTTTTTTGTTTGAAAGCCTCGGGTCACTCAAATTGCTGATAAAGAAAGATGACCTCGCTTGAGGACAGGACAAACCACGCTTCGGACGACTTACTTGGCCTCAAGGGCGAGGGCGATGATTCCTGCCGCCAGAGGGGCCGAGGCAGAGGTGCCTGTGTGGGAGTCTGTGCACTTCTGCCTGAGGTCTGTAGTGACCTGAAACAGGAAGCGGAGCGGGAAAACATATCGCATCACTGATATGATGGGAAAATCCAATTATTCCAGATGGGAACACAATACCAACACTGTACTGACTTGACAATGAAGTCTCTCACAAAAGATGATAAAAGTTTAAAGATAAGGCATTTTTAATTATTTCAGAATGTTTCCTGAGGCGCAATATTAATGTTAGTAGGATTTTAACAAACTGTCCGAATTTTGAAATAAAAGTAAATTTTCTACACTGGTTTTAGCTCTCAGGTCATTTAAGCGTTTTTTTATTATTATCAAATAAAAACATGTTTTTGTATTATAATCAAAGCTGAATTTTTTCCCCCCTGCTTACTGTTTTTGTGGAATCTGCGGTGCATTTTCCCAGATTCTTTGATGAACAAAGTGTAAAAAAAAAAAAAAACTATTTGAAAAATAAATATTTTGTAACATTATGAAAGTCTTTACTGTTTTAACAATTTACTTTCACGCAGTCTCCACAAAAATATTAAGCAGCAAAAACTGTTTTCAGCATTAACAACAAAATTTTTTTTCTCGAGCACCAAATTAACATAGAATGATTTCTGAAGGATCAAGTGACACTGAAGATTCCAAATACTCTTTTGGAATTCACTAAAATAGAAAAAAAAAGATTTTTAAATAACGGTTATATATTTTTTCTAAATATTTCTAACATTTATTATTAAATAAAGGCAGCCTTGGTGAACATAAGACATTAAAATAATTAAAATATTCCAACCTTTTGACCATTAGCCTGTATGTCAAATGATCAGGGAAATCTTGATTTCTCAATTCATGACCCATTTCATAATCTTGCTAATTGTGTCCAGAATTGCTATTATTATTTGTTCATACTCAATCAAGAATTCAAACAAGACCCTTACACTCAGCTTTAAATTTTGATGTGCAACTAGTCCCTCACCATGTGTGCTACAGATATAACTGATACCTCAAATCATGAAAGTTGTTGAGGAGCACCGTGCTATTACTTTTCAAACTGATATGACTGATCAAACTGATCCTCTAAATGGTTTTTGAGGGGAATTTGGGAGAGAAAAAATAGACCGGGGATGAGGATTTCAAAGAGACTTGGGAATTGGGCTCTTTACACTTGGGCCAGTAGGCAACCACCCAGAACTTCCTAGCAACTGCATATCAATGCCTTGGCAACAAGCCTTGCATCACAGCACTGGCATCTGCATGGCAAGCACCTCTTCTCATATTCTTCAGAAAATGTAAAAACCCTATAAAAACTGCCATTCGGCTTCTGCCCGTTACGTGACCCAGGTGGTTCAGTTAAATGTTTGACATTTTCAACACTTGAGGGTAAAAAGCGCAGCATCTTTAAGCCCTTAGGGTCACACAGACAGAGCCGGAACAATTCAAGACAAATGCAAACATAAAAGGCTTGACGGGTGACACTTAAAAAACCAGGCATCGAAGGATGTGCACTGACTGCGACAGACCTCCTTGCGTGAGACTAATTGCTAAAAATGGCAGAGAGGCTGAATGACAGGAGCGATGACAGAATTCAGCAATTGCACACTTAAAAATGGATCTTGGGAGACCACAGGAGAGGAATATCACCTGACAGAGTCTCTGCTGCAGAGGAAACAGCGGGTATCAGGCTTCTGTCCTTTAAAAGCACACCTCCATTGTGAAAGCTAGTGTCTGTGTCCTGAATGCGAGACAATAGATGAGTCAGTCAGGCATAGCCGGTTATGAGAACAATGCTTGGGTGCGCGCCTGTCGGCACAGAGCCGGGTAAAGACACAAAACCGAACATGAGCAAAGAAAATGTCATGCTATGACAGTGAGGGGTTGTTGTTTTGAATAACGGGGATATTTGTGCTTTGAAACTACAGCTTAACATTTTGTGAAGAACCCAAAAAGATTGTGTGCTCATGCAAAAGTCAGTGTCAGTATGCCAGGGTGTTGCTATAGGTTTCCAAAGGTGATCTGAGTGGTTCTTAGAGCACTAATATCCAGTTGCTAGAGTGCTTTGGGGCCGAATTCACAAATCATTCTTAAGAATCATTTTTTTCTTTCTTCTATTTTCTAACTTAAGAATAAAGTTAAGAATATTTTGTGTTCCCAAAACATTTAAGAGTGTCTTTTATCTTTTATTTTCTTCTTAGAATTAGAATTCCTAGAAAGAATGTTCTTAACAATAAATAATACGGGTGGTCAAAATACACTCATGTCACGAGTCGGCTTCATACAAAAAAATATATAAAAATATGATAAGTATTTTAAAGCATATTCATGGCTAAAAATAAAGAATTATGTTAGACATACATGCTTGCACTCTGTCCCTGCCTAGATACAGCTACTATAAATAAATAAATGAAATTAATTAACATTAAAATAAATAAGTTATTAATAATTTATAGTAATCTATATATACAGTATTTTGTTAAATAACACTTTATTTATTAACTCTTTCCCAGCCAGCATTTTTGAAAAAAATTGCCAGCCACCGCCAGCGATTTTGATGATTTTCACTAAAATTAGATGGCCTCCAGTATATTTTGCTGTATGAATACACCAAATAAACCAAATCCACCAAAATAAAGATCAGAGCCTCTACTTTTAAACAAAGAAATCTGTTTTATTCTAGCTTAAAGCATTCTTTTTTTTTTATCAACACTTGAATATAGGTAGGTTTCATAAAACTGCATAATTTTGAGCAAAAAGGTGAGAAAATCACATTTTTATCAAAAACAACATCTGGATAATATTCAGTACGATTATCAAAGCATAAGTCCAGCAAATTGCTTCCATCAACACCTCAACATCTGGATAATATTCAGTACGATTATCAAAGCATAAATCCAGCAAATTGCTTCCATCAACACCTTCAAAGCTTGCACAGACATATGCCACTTCATGGATCAACATTTTACTCCGTAACATTATGCAGTTTTCATTTATATGCTGTCTATTGCTGATGATCACATTATTTTTCATATGCATCTGTTTACATAAGAGATTGCTCGTTTCTCCATCCTGTTCACGTGTGTTTTTGTTCGGGAGGTTTTGTACTCATTCAGAAGATGCGTAATAGTGCCCCCGAGTGTACTCGAGTAAAAAAAAAAGTTTACTCGTCTTTGGCGGGAAAGCGTTTAAAAGACGAGATAACTTGTCAATGGCGGGTAAAGAGTTAATAATAATTAATAAAAACGAATACTCAAATGTGCGAGCTGCCAGCTACCATATTTGATGCACTCTTGGTTTCATTTTTTATATGTGAATAATAGCCTAAATTAAATCTTGTCTATACTTTCGGTTTTGGGTGACCTATGCACAATATATACTGTCACAATTCACGAAACACATTGTTCCATTTTTGTATTGCAATATATTGCGACACAATATATTGTTGCAGCCCTACTAAATAACAACTCTATAAAAACGATTCAAATAAGGATCTTGTTAGGATTTCATTTTTGAAACATGACACTGAGTGCTGATCTCCTTCCAAGCGAGTCGCACCGAAAATAGCGTGAACTTATGATTTTCACTGTAATCAGCAGGTGGCAGAAAAAGATGCCATTTGAGGTGTTTTTCAGTTGAGTTGATGAGCGAGTCTTCAGAAAGAAGAACCACCATACAATCAGATATCAACACAAGTCTACCAAGAAAATATTTGAGAACCTCTAAAGAATTTTTCAAGAACTGCACTTGCGAACCTTTAAGAATGTATCTACAGTATTACATTTCTTAAAGGGTTAGTTCACCCAAAAATGAAAATTAGCCCATAAATTACCCTCAAGTCATCCTAGGTGTATATGACTTTCTTCTTTCAGACGAATCCAGTCGGAGTCATATTAAAAATTGTCTTTGATCTTTCAAGCTGTTTAATGCCACTCAGCAGGTGTTGCATGCATCAGTCCAAAAGAAGTTAAATAAAAAGCGCTCATCCATAAAAAAAAGTGTCTCACACGGCTCCGGGGGGGTGAACAAAGGTCTCCTGTAGCGAATCGATGCGTTTTTGTAAGAAAAATATGCATATTCAAAACGTAATAATCACTTTATTGTAGCTTGCGCCAACAGTTGTACACAGAAGCAGCTCCGGGCGGATGACGTATGAGTTCAGCGTTGCGCACGCTCCGGTGAGTCTCGTGAAAACCAACGTTTGTTAACAGGAGCAAAGGAAGCAAAGTTTCCTTACTTTAGCAAAGGAAAACCAGTCTCCTCTTGGCTTATATCGAAATCCTCCGACATTCTTCTTTACAAATCCTCATTTTGTACTTCTAATAAGTGACTGTTGTTTTGTTTTGATCGCTCCCTTGCG